CACACACACACACACACACACACACACACACGCGCGCGCGCGCACACACACACGCACACGCACACACGCACGCACACACGCACACGCGCACATGTGCACACGCACACACGCACACACGCGCGTACACACACGCACACACACCCCTGCTCAGATATAGCATCTGCTATATAAGGGATGATGAGCAGCAGCAGGCACATTTATTGCACAGGAGCTCCCATGCCTCCCCATGGAGCCCTCAGTAGACATAACTAATTGATCACTGCATTTCCTCTTGCTCAGTGTGGACATCGCTTGAAGTCTTTCTTAGTTCTGGATGCTCTAGGTAGCTGTTCCCATGTAGCAGAGGACACGCTAACACCTGTCCCCTCTACCATCTGCTGAGAAGATGTTGCTACAGAGATGGGTGTAGGGAATGAGTGAGGTCCTGAGTGAATTAATGCACATTGTTTGAAATGAGCCAGTCACAGGAAATTGGCAAAGCCTTCCCAATAGCATCAGGCTCAGAGTTGGCAAAGTCTTTCTGGGTCTGAATGGTGTCAGTGTGTGCGAAAGTTAGCAACTGCAGCTTCCTCCTCCTGGATGTTTACAGCCTCAGACTGCTCACCCACAGACACTTCCTGCGGAGACAAGCTAACCCCTGTCCTCATGCTTCATGTAATAAGCACCCTGAGATTCTGTCCTGCTGCGGTAGCTGGTACTACTCCCTCAGAAATGCATACAACCTACCTGACCATAGATTTTTTCATACGTTTGTCTGTCCTTTCGTCATTCCTTCCTTGCCCCTGGTCAGGTTATGTCCAAGGTGCTCTGGAGGTGCAGATGGGCATTTCCAGGAAGGGCTGGAGCTTGGGCACAGTGAAACAGGAAATCAGAGGGGCATGTAGAAGGAGCCTGGTTTGGTACTGAAGGAACCTTGGGCAGTGTTGGAAGTACTTAAGATCTCCTGGTTGAAGGCATGATTTGTGGAAAGATCAAAGGGCAAGAAATATCCTGGCCAGGGCAGGCTGGGCTTCAAGAAATTTCCTAAACGTATTATTCTCTGTCCACAGAGGTTTGGGGTATGTGCCACTATCGACTAAGCTTTACATGTAAGGAGACAGAGCTTGGAAAGGCGATGGGTAAGAATGTACAGAGTTGATTTTGGCTCCCGACTCTACCAGATGCTATGGCTGCCCTTCTCTGTCGGCCTCAGGGCCTCTCTGAGCAGGGTTGGGGCAGCGCTGGGGTATCTGACCCACCCCAGCATTCAGAGCAGTCAGCCTGGGGAGAACCTGGGCAGTAGGCTTCAGGGAATAGGGAAGGGTGGCCCTCCTGGCTCTTCCAGGTCAGGGCAAAAAACAGGGTCCTAGAGATACTTCAAAGTCCTCAACTTGCTACCAGGTTTGGTGTGACCACTGGAGTTCTCATGATTAGCTTTGAATACTGTGTTAAAACTCAGAGGTTTTGAAGTGCAAAGACCAGTACATTTGGCTGCTGTTAGAAATCATATGTGCTGCAGGCCAGTGGTGACACATGCCTTTAATCCCAGCTCTTGGGAGGCAGAGACAGGAGAATCTCTGTGAGTTCGAAGCCAGCCTGGTCTACAGCTAGGGCTACACAAAGGAACCCTATCTTGGAAAAAGCAAAAATAACAAACAGAAAAGAAATTGCATGTGCGGTGGTTGATGGGTTTGCAGAGTCAGGGGTGACCGTGGGTAGGAGCTGAGCATGGGCTGCTGGCTGGTTCCTAGTTCTTCCAATCCCTGGAGCATTTGAATTTCAGGATCTTACAACAGAGGACAGAGTAGAGGGTGGGTGTCACTCCCTGTTATCCCCTCTCTTGGTATAACCTCAGTTAACCTCTGAGCCTTTGTAGACCCCAGTTTCTCCACCTATGGCTGAGACTGAGAACGAGATCTGTGAAACCTTCAGTGGTACCCTGCCAGAGCCTGTTGAAGACACATATCCCCGGGCCCTGCCTCATGTTCACTGACGAGGAAGAAGCAGCTCCTTCGAGGGCCCTTGAGTCTCTTGCACACTCAACAATGTGAGCAGACTGATTTATGGAGTCAGCTCTTGAGCCCAGAGTCTGACCTTCAAGCTCAGCCTCATCGTCCCAGCCAAAGATGGTGAGCAGGAACTGCCGGCAAGGCCATTGCCAGGGCCAGAAAGGCTTCCTTCGGGCCTGAGTGGGGAATCCAGCCAGCTCATGTGACCTCCAAGGTGCTCAGAGACACACATGCACACAGACACAGACACAGACACAGACACACACACACACACACACACA